AAGCTCCTTGAGTCTTGTCATTGCCATGAGGTTTCCAGGCAACAAGTGGAGACTCCAGGAAGTTGCTCCAACACATAACCGTCCAAAACACTGCAACTTGTTATTTTCACACCTCAACGTTTTTACAGACAAGCATGATGTACTGCGGTAATTAGTGAGCTTCAGATGTTCTGTTGTGTAGATTTTGTTACTGTGGTCCAGTGCCTGTTCCCATTTTTTTTCAGTCTTTATGCAAAACGAAGCAAATCATCATCAAGTTGTGGGTTTATATTTAACAGACAGTGATGAGAGTGGTATAAATCTGCTCATTTAACTCTCTTTAAGGAAGCTCAGTCTGTCTTTATGCCTGGTAGTCTCACCAAGGTTGTCATTTCGTCTAATTTACCAGCAGATCTGTTTTCATTTGTTATTCTTCTTTTCCATCTATGGTCAAACATGTTTCCTGGCTGCAGTTGCTTGTTTTGCTGTTCCCATTTTAATTTCTGTTAATAATTCCTCTTGTATTAGTTATATATTGTTAGATGACAAGAATAAAAAAAAAAAAGAGAGATGCAAGCTCTTGTCTGAGCTGTTCTCAAATATGGTTGTGCTTGAAGAGGACCATGACTGGGTAATTTTCTTGCTGGTGTATTTTTGGAGGAATGTTGATGGTACATGGAAAGTAGAATTCATTTTGAACAGCACCCAGTGTGTGTGTGTGTGTGTGTGTGTGTCCTGGCTCCCTTGACAGCCAAAATCTGCAGTTCAGTCACTCAGGCACCAACCAACACAGTGTAAAGAGAGACCTTCCCACAGAGGGACTGGTCCACTGCTCAGTGAGGTCATTTAGAGACCAGAAGGACACCAGGGCAGCCTGACCATGTAAAATTTGTTTGTGCATGTCAATGATAGACTGGTATCTTCTGTAACTTCAGACCATGCTGTTTTTTGTACAGATCGGGGAGAAGGCAGAATTCCTGAGCAAATCAGCCCAGAAAAGGTGAGCCAGAAAGGTTTATTGTTTGTTTGCAGTAAAAGATAATGAAGACAAAAAAATAAATTAATGAATGAAGTGGAAGTTACTAATGCCCAGTGCATTGTCCATCCAAACAGCACCACAGCCCGAGTGTCACACACCCCAATTGTCTCCAGGATTGGCAACAGACTGGAACAGTACAATACTGCCATCCAGGTGAGACTCAACATGATAAACAATATTCAGCATCCTTACAGAGGTAATAGTCATACCCTTTATTTTATTAAAGAAGCCAGTGTGATGATGTGAAAAAGCTTCATCTGGAGCATGACAATGAATAAGAAGGCCTTTATTGTCACTGCACAAGTTCAGTGAAATTGGATGGCTATCCTTTTACAATGCAAAGAATGTAACAAATAATGAACGTACCAAGTGTAAGAATAGTGCAAAGAATGCATTTACAAAGGATAAAACAATCACAGTGCAAAATGTAGATTTACAAAAACAAAAGATGAGGGCTGGAAATACAATCAAAAGGGAGGTAGACAAAAGTGTTCAGGTGCTGTGTGCCGCACCTCAAGCATAATATTGCTCAAGATTTCTACAAGTAGCTTGTTGTTGTTGCACATGATTGTGTTTATGTTGTGGTTTGTCCATCAAATATTGCACATGACATTTTTATATTGGCCAGTGTGATCAAAGCTGGGCAGAGTTAAGCACTGTGACAGCTTTGGGATAAAAACAGTTTTACAGTCAAGTAAAAGTCCAGATTGAAAATATTGCTAAAAGTACAGAAATAACAAAATTTACAACAAAGAGTTCTCATTTTCAAAATTTGTTCTGAGAAACTAATACTTAACCTGTAAAAGATGACATTATTAGACTATTAAACTACAGATTAAGTTGAATTTTGTTGCTGTAGCCAGTCAAGGTAGAGCTAGTTTTATTCTATGTATTGTAGTTTAGATAAGTGATTCCATCCAAAGCATTGTAAGATCAGTCTGAGAGGCCAGTGAATAACAGGGTAGGAAAATAGGAAAGTGGCAGTTCTGCTGCACAAATAGGAATGGTATTTTGTAAACATATTCAGACAGTAAATGTTTGCTAAAATTTCTAATACTGCATTATATTTGACAAGCTTAACATAAGTTTTAAATGTCAAATCAAGCAGATTTCTTTTTCAATATTTGCCTCTGAAATGCAGAGGAGGACATGAAGTATAAAACAGCATAAAATTGAAATAAATAAAACTCAAGCACCTCTAAATTGTACTTGAGTACAGTACCTGAGTAAATGTAAATATACTAAGTTATTTTCCACTCAGGACATAGCCATCCTTTAACTGGTTGGATCCATGTTTTCTTTCTGCAGGGAAACAAAGATCCAAAATCCCCAAAGTCTCCGATGGCAGATATTCCTACAGGAGGCACACGCAGCATCAAAAGTATGTGGGAGAAAGGCAACGTTGGAAGCCCCTCTGAAAGTCCAGCTCCTGCAAACAAGGTGAAGCAGAATAAGAAGGAGCGAGAGGTGGATGGACAGGTGTGCTGGTGCATGACTGACAATTTGAGGTGTTTCTCTTCCAGGATTTGGCCGGCATCAAAGGAGGCGTGTCTGGACGGGTCAACAGCTGGATGGCGAAGCCTGCAGAGGCGGAGAAGACAGCAGCACCGGCACCTGCAGCAGCAGCAGCAGCACCAGCAGCATCACCAGCCGCAGCAAAGCCAGCAGTAAGGCCTGATAAATCCTTGTCTTGATCACAAGCCCACACACTATTGTAAATTAGACACCAGTGTTCTTCAGTAGCATAATCCCTTGATATTCTGTGCACGCTAATGTGCTCATTTGCACATCAACGTGCCAGTCTTTTGTTGGCTGCAGCCTTCAGATCTGATCTCCAAGACTGGACACTGCTGCTGTCTGGAGTCTGGTGACACCACATGGACAGTTTGCTCCACAGCATCTGCCAACACAAACCTTCTCTGTATTATTCTTGACATTGAGTCAACGTTTCAAAACGTATGAACTGAGCCCAAACCTGTGGGAAAATCACTTTGCCGGAGGACAATATCAGTTCTCACCGTCGTAGGCAACAGTCCAGCCACAAAGCACAGAGCTGCAGTCAGTGTCAGGTGGCTGAATGCCAGTGAGTCTTCTTGCTCAGCCGTTTCTACGCCCCTCTGAACATCAATCACTTTGGTCTCTGTCGATGTTCTGCTGTTACATTACATCCAGCGAACAGTGCAGTACTCTCAACTTTAGTCTTTGACTCACTTTAAACTTCATATTTTAGTCTTTGTGAGTCGTCACACCATGTTTTTGGTCTCCTTCAGGCAAGGGTAAAAGGTCACATCCATTCACATTCTTCACATATAGAGACATTTTTATCCCACGTCGCAACATGGACACAACAACCAACAAGCAAGTAAAGACTGAATAATTCTGTTTATTTGTTATCGACATGGTCACACATGATCACACTGATAAATACATTAGTTCATTTGTAAAAGGGTACTTGACGGACACAGTGTCCTTTTCTTGAATTAGGACACCAGCTGCTAATCCTACCGGGTCGTCTGGAGACATTACACTATTTCCACATGCAGTAGCATTTCTGGATGACGTGTGACATTGTTCTGCAGCAAAATTTATGAGCCATGAGATATCTTTAGTGTCAAACGTCTTGGCCAGAGTAGCAGTTGTAACCTTGCTGTTACTTTTGCAGTAACACTTCCCCCTGATGGGATGAAGCTGTACAGCAGTCTGTGGTGCACATTTGAATCTTAGTGTCACTAAACTTCTGTGTTTTCTTTTGTATGTTTACTGTGTTGTTTCATTATTTTTGCCTTTTCTGTCCTCTTTATTTACACTCTTTTTCTCAGCTATCCACGCTCAAACTTTTCCTGCTGTTCTTTGTCTACTCTTCAAACTGGTAAAGGTATCACTTTACATACATTTCACCACAACGTCCACGAATAATCAAAAGTATAATATAAAATAAATAAATATATTTGGGAATCATATTTGCATCTAGTGATCGAAAATAATTTGGCACATGTACTCAAGAATGGTGCTTTACACTTCTATTTCTAGCTGATGCTACTCTACACTCCTACTCTTCTACATTTCAGAGAAATATTGTCATTTTTACTCCAATGTAACAAGAAACAGTTCATAAAAATAAAAAGTACAACAATTTAGTGGTTTCAAACCCATTTCTAAAAGCAGTGTCTATTTGGTGCAACCTTGTCACATTTCAGATGTTAGCAGAAAAGAGTAGTTGTAGTTGATATGTCATATTTCCTGATAATACGTCCATATGATTTGCTAATGATGACTTTCACGTGTTTATTTTCACATCAGTATGCTGTACTTTAACACAAGTAAAACAACATCAATACTTCTTGCATCACTGCCTGAGACTAACAGGGCCATGGGTCTTATTTGTGGCAGGATGTGAAACCAAGTGACATCGGTAACAAGCGTGGCATGTGGGAAACCAAGAAGGCTTCTACGCCTGGCAAGGTAACACCCACACACACACCTCACCTACCAAGGGGTGACGCTAAGTTCTGAAAGATTTCTTGTGACATCATCCTGTTTTTTTTTGTTTTTGTTTGTTTGATTCAGTTCAAATAGATGAGTGAAATCATGGAGGTAAATCATGGATGTGTGGCAACGACACTGAATGCACGTTTCACTCGGCATGATGTGGTTGATTTGAGGTGTTAACACTGATTTTATGCTCTTCCAGTGTGGCAAGTTGTTTCTCTTTCAGTTCAGTCAATGTATACAGTAAATCCTGATTCTGTTCTTTGATTTTTTGTACAATATTTTCAAGTAAGGGACTACATGAACATTACTGGTGTAGGGGTTCAGTATAGGCGTACTATTCCTTGGGTGTGTTAGGGGGCATATCCACCAAAGCATTTTATCCTTGGATGCAATCATGCACTGTATATAAAGATGGAAACCCCTCCCCCATGACATCACTCACAGGTTTCCTTAATAGCACGTCTAAAGCTTAGTGTAGTGGCTTCAGCCTTCACCTTCTTGGCAGCGTCTGACTCTTCTGAACTCAATGAGCAATGAGGCGGAGCATTAATAGAGCTGAGGCAGGCCATGCATACATCTCGGGCCCGGGGACTGTCCTATGATGACACCCACCTGTCACTCATGGCAGCCACATCCTTAATTATGCATAACTCTAAGTTTTCAGTTACTTATACGAGTTTTATGTAATAACTCTGCTATAATTGTGTATTTCTGCTGTAAAGTTGGACATTTTAACATTGGGGTCAATGGGTACCTACATACTTTTGGAGTCAGCCTCAAGTGGCCATTTGTGGAACTGCAGTTTTTGGCACTTCCACATTGGCTTCAACTGTAGGTTACTGCTTGGTTAGAATGGGAAAACCACATATTAACACTGTGCTAAAAGTGGCCCCATCCAATCAAAGTGGAGTACAAATACAAATGCAAATACTGACCAACACCTCAACTATAGCTCTTGAACCCAAGTGGTGATTCTTACCAAGATGTTTCCTTGCAGACATGTCATGAGCCCACTAGTGGTTTGTCCTCTCTCTCTATGTACTTCACCTATTTCTTCATCCAGAGCAAGAGCCTGATTAATGATAACACATATATTGTGCAAAATAGTGAGGATTCAGCGGTTTATAGATAATGGATGGATGGAAAAAGAAGCTATTTGTGTATATTCAACATCACTGCGACCAAAGCACCTCAGCTAAAAAAGTCCTTCACCTCTAAAGCGCCCCCAACTGGGCATTTTCAGAAGAGCACCTGGTGTGTTCAGCTATCAAAAAGTGTTTTGTTGCACATGCCTTCTTAGTCAAGGAGTTTGGGATTTTTATAAAGTGAATACGACACAAAACCTCATCTCAGTCCAGTAATTTTCATACAGTTCCTAACTTACAAGTTGCTTGAAGTAGGATGAATTTTCAATCTCAAACCTCTCGCTGAGCTGCCTGAACTGAAATGGAAATACAGATTTTGATGTGATGAAGGAGATGGCCGCAATAACTGTGGCTTTCTATTGTACCGTTCTTCCACCCTCCCACACACACCCAATAAAAATGACTATATTAAGCATACGCTATCATTAGTTCCTGCACTGACTTTGAGGACATAAATAGTATAACTCGGCCGTGAATTCTCCCTTTTTTGATGTGGTTGTTCATTTTAGACATGGATTGCTTCTTGTCATAGAGGGATGTGCGCTACATGTTATTACAGGACGTTTTGGCTGCACTTATGTTCCAGTAGTTGTACTGTAGGGAGGATATCATGGTTGAGTGCATGTGCTTATGCTTCAATGCTGTGTTTGATGTATTTTTTAGTCCAGATTGCTTTGAAGGAACTCTTTGATGTTTCCTTCATTTATTTAACGTGAGTCTCTAACAGTAAGTAGACAACATATCTGACATCTGTGGAAACACTACATCAACACTAAACGTCCATCTTTCAGGGGCAGGACCACATTTTCCTGACATTTAGACTGTCTAGTATATTATTAGCCCACAATCTCACTCCCACTCCTCTTCACTCACAACTTATTCAGAATCATTTTTTTTCAAAAGATCTTTAAACATTACCTTAAATAAAGCAGAAGGTACTCGTCCTGTGGTGCACATATCCAAACTAGGAATCATTTCCATAATAAGACAAGGATTTACTTCAACATCATCAGCTGTTTACATGACTTCCTCCTTTTCCTTCACTCCTCCTTGTTTACAGGTGACAATCGGAGGCAAGAGCAAGTTTGTCACTAATGGTAAGTTTCTTAAGTGACTGTAAACAGCAGTGAAATGCAATTAAGTACATTTATTCCAGTACTGTACTTAAGTAGTATTCTGAGGTTTTTGAGTTTTTGTTTTGGTATCTTCACGTACAAAACTGACTTACTAGCAGGAGTGCAAACTTTCCCCAGCTACAACATCAAACTCAGGTGCATAATGATCATATTTCCATTGATTCTTCAAAGGAATAATCAATTCTTGGCATGAGTTAGAGGAGAAGATTTCCAATAAACCAGCCTGGCTCTGTCTGAAGATAACAAACTATACCTACCAGCACCTCTGAAGCTCATTAACTAGCACGTTACATCTTGTAAGTGCACACAGTGCAAACACCAAAGTGCAAAAACAACAATGTGTGGTGTCACCAGCGTGATATGCTGGACTGTTTGTTGGCCGGGTGCACTGACTTCCTGAAGTATCCAGTTCACTGTGACAACCAGACTCCCTTGTAACCCAACCGGCTGCTGGTTGTTGCTTCAAATTTAACATCTTATTTACCATCTGAAACAGACAGCTGAGGAATGATGCAAAGGGCAAATGACAAAGCACATTTCCCAAAATATCCAGTACACTTTGCTGACGATTATATTACGGTTAGATCTACTTTTACTCAAGTGAAGGGTCTGAATACTTCCTCCAACACCAAATGTGCGCATACTACAAGTTAAACCAGGGTTTATGTTGATCAGTCCTGGGGGAAGCGGAGTTTAGATGAAGTGCGTCTGCCCTTCAAACCATTTTCTGGGCAAGGAGGGGGAGGACTTGACTGATTTATGGCACACTGGAGGCTCATAGCTACAACAACCCACCAACCCTCCTTTGTGCCAGAGTAGCTTCTCACTGTAAATCAAATCTGCTGCTGGAGATTTTTGGGCACGGACTCAGCTCTGTGGCACTGAGGTCTATATTTAAAAACCCCTCACCATGACCTTGTCTCCCAGTATAAAGTAAGTTCCAGACTCCTGGGATGGCTGTCGTGTTTGTGCCGTGCACTGTTCACCCAGTGCCACCTGGATCGGCCAGTGTCTGCGAGCTGTTAGGCATACCACAGTGCAGCTGCTTGATTTTCACATTACAACTGAGTGCTGGGGAGGATTACTAACCATTTAAACAACAAATCGGGCTCGATCACCAGGCTTATTCACTCAGAGCTGAGGATAAAGACCTAACATGTACCTCAACAGCAACAAAGGAGCCACTTTAAATGTGTGAAACTACAGCATAAATCATAAAAAAAAGACATTTGACATTGACTGATGTTGGCACACCATAGCTGTCCTTCTTCTTTCTGTTCAAAAGTTGCATTTCGTCTGACATGAAGCCCTCGATGCTTGAGCCAGAGTGTGAACAATAGGAGTGGAAAAGCGTTTGTCGAGTGTCAGCTTCAACCCTAAATAGCGATCCTTGTTTGTAGCCTCTCAGTTTCTTCATCAGAAATAGACAGCTGAGGAATGAAGTAAAGGGCAAATGACAAAGTTACAGCTTTCAATCACAAAGAGAAATGTCCTGACTTTGACTGCAGGGTATGTGTCAGCAACAGTAGCACTGACTCTGCTCTACAGACACATAAACACACATGCACATACATTATACGGAATATACATCAACAAGTAAGGCTGTTAAAGCATTGATTAATGACCCTGAGACTAATCTTGTTCAACACCTAATAAACTTGGATAAGTTACACAGTTTCAACAGTTATGTTAACATCGCAACATTGGCTAATAGATCCTCGTTGTCTTCCTTATCTATCAGCAGGCGTCAGACCCTAACTGTTGACATCCCTGTTAAATCAAGTCCTACCTGAGCAAACGCAGGGCTCTGCTGCTGTTTGTGCATCTCTTCCCCTTCTTCACACCTGCATTTCGCATGAGGATCACACCAGAATAAGGAAACAAGGAAGGCCCGTTTCCCGACATCAAAGCCTTCCTGCTATATCTTCACAGTATGAGTAGCTTCACACTGCTGCCTACTTCAGCTCAGCCAACCTCTGAGATTGTCTTTCAAAAAATTAAAAGATATCAATGTGCTTTTTAACATATGTTACCTGATTTTTGTTTCAAAGGTTTTCAAAGAACACCTAGTGGTAGTCTGTCAGGATAATTCCGTGTTACTTTGCTATCAATCCACAGCAACATGTTCAATATTCTTATAATGTATTTGATGCTAATGTCATATAGCTTTTACAAAGTAATGCGCATTTTTTTTGCTTTGTGGTTTCATATACTCACTGCTTTTTGTGATGGCAGTCACAGGTTTGACCCTGTAGAAAGTATCCTACCGCTCAGCTGGACGTTGGGTGGAAAGCATGTACATAATTGATTTGTTTTTATGAGGTGGTGCCACTTTCTGCTATGACGCTCTTCGTAAAGGGTTTATAGATAATAAGAAATGGCCTTTGCTGTTAATGTATCCTGTATGATCGCTTTATAGATCAGTTAGAAGCCATCAGGAAGAACAGCTCTGAGGTGGCCAAGTCATAAAGGAACTCCTCTGGCTGGTGTTTAATCTTTTGCTGCCACTTTTTAAAACGGAATCATTCTGCTTAAGGACTTCAGGCTTAATTAATTACTGACTACAGAATGATTGTTCCATTTTAAGGCAAAAATAAGCACAACTTTAAAGATGCCAGAGGACAGCAGAATTTGAACTTCCACATAGAAACATAAATATCTTTTTATACAGGCATTTATGTTAAAATACATTTTGTAATCATTTTAGTGAACGTCTCACTTCCATGTTGTGCCATCATCACGGCAATATTTAAATGTGTTGAAGTCTTTGGTTGACTTTGCAAATACCTGCATAACTAATGATATTACTGCAATGTTTTGCTGTATTTTGCTTACTGCAAAGCAAATCATACAAACAGGCTAAACTGAAATGGAAAACATGTAAATGTCATACTTGTTAAACAGCGTAATGTCCTTTATCATGTGTTGCATGACATTAGCATTTATCTCAAAACACAGAGTCACTTATCCCCTTATAAGCTTTGACCAAAGTCCATTTATCAACAACTCATTAACCTTTACAACTGCAACAGAGCGGATTTTTGAGGCATCAATGGCTTTTCAGCATTTATAGCTTCAGACATGATGCCTTCTTGAGAAACGAGTATCATAAGTCACAAAGTTCATAAATCCTTTATGACGGGGGTCGTATTATAAAGTGGTACTTAAGAGTCCACCTCAGACCAGAAGGTTCTATCAGTGGCACATTCTGCTCAGGACTGCAGCCAAAGAACAACAGTGTGCAACATTTCTGTGAAAAACACCTGAGTTTGTTACCTTCTGGACTTGTATCAGTTAAAAATCACATTGTTTTGTAATATAAACACCAACACAGTCCATTAATACCGGTATATGCAACTATCCAGTGACCAAATGCAAATATATTTAACAAGCAGGCAAAAGCCCGACATCTTAGCTCATCTATCATCAGTTTACAAGCCACTCAGTTCTTTTTTGCATTGCAGTAAAGGTTTTCAATTGCAATATTCAGTCTGTTTTATCAAAGCCTGTAATTCAGTGTTTCTGTCAGCACACGAGTTGAATCCTGCCGGAATGTAATGTGAGTCGCTCAGTATTGTTGTGGTGGTTTGATTTGTTTGAATTTATTGTTTGTACGGCTTCAGCAATAAAAAAAAATATTCAAAAATAACAAGAAAAATAAGTTTGTTTGAATTCTTTTGTTTTATTTTTACCAGCTGTGAGGAAATGTTGTCCTTCCTAACCGCCTGTGAATATATGGCGTGTTGAAATCTGAGTGGCTGGTGAAAGCCCAAACAAATATATGACATTTTACCATGACAGGAATGTACCTGCAGAATGCGTGTGTGTGTTTCTGAGACAGCGCTCTCATGTCCAGCTGTCTAACAATAGACTGGTCAGCCATAGGGTGCTGCAGTCACATGAGTAAGAAGGGCCGGTCTATGTATCCTTGATGCTCAACCTGTTAGTGAAGTTCAAGGAGCTGAAGTCTGTCGCTCGTCTCTGAGCTCCCTCTGTCTTGGTTGCAGGTAAGGACACTCTTGTGTGGGCAATGTTTTTTTAAAACCTAATTAAACTCTTGTGTAGTCATAAATCTTGAACTGAATTACTATACAATTATTATATTTTCATTTATAACCAACTTGATTTGGAGATCACCTAAATGATTTTTTAAAAAGCTGCACCCAGCATCTGACAGAAATCTTTCCGTAAATGCAACTTTATTTTTAAAAATTGTTTAATCAGATGTCAGCGATCACCTTCATAAAAAAATCGCCCAAAAGCACGAAATTATTTTTATTTTTTACTGGTGGTATTAGTATTAATGTATAAACATGTACTTACAATTTCCTAAAGTAGATATTCTATTTTCATTATAAATCTTATCACATTATTATAATATATTGTAATTAAATTAAAATATAAAACATATTTACAGAGTAACAACCAGGGGATTAAAGCATCTAAGTCTATTTTCTCAAGCTCTGTTCTTGATTGCAAGTTGAGGGTTCCTGAAGTGTATAAATCTGTACTACTTTACAGTTCTGTATTAAAATTATGCTTTTTTTATTACCTAAATTACTTTACAGCTGCAGGAACAAAGAGTCTTACTGTGCAGATTATATGATAAATATAAGTATATTCTTCCAGCTTGCATTATTCGTTTCACAAACAATCAGGAGTACATTAATCAAAATGACAAATTTTACAAATGCCTTTTGGACTGCTGCCTGCAAGCATTGGGTATTTTCCAGTCATTGTACGGTGGCTGTTGCCACCTCGGCGACCAGCCTCAGATATTTGTTTGAGTGCTGACACTCATTGTCGACTGTGTGAACTGTTGCCATCTCACGCTCCGCTATGCTGTTTGATGATCAGAAATATTTGCCAGAGTAAATATAGGCTAATGGGGATCCATTTTGCAGAGCTCATCCTTAACAAAATGTCTGACACGGAAGAAGTCATGGAGGAGGAAGCTCAGTATGTGATCAATTTTACACATTTGTTCAAATATAGATTTCTTGAATCAGTATCTTAATTTGATAACACATTTGTTTTCAATATTTTTCTTTGTTGCTCTTCTGAAGGGAGGGAGAAGGTAAGAAAACTGCTTTATTTAAAAAAAAAAAAAAAAGAAGCTTTATATGTCTAATTTATTGTCCGAGCATCTTACTAATCACGCATGTTCCTGGTCATTAGCACAAGAGGAGGCAACGGGTGAGACAACTACCCTAAATGCTTTGCAGCTTACTACTCACCTCTTAAATCAATGCTTCCTTTACTTTTAAAGTTATTCATAATTGTTTTCCTTGTTCCAGATGAGTCAAAGCCAAAGCCGAAGTAAGTGTTGTAGCTTTTTCTTTAGTAAAACCTTTACCCAACAAGACAGAATATGTATTAATAAACTGTTCACACGTACAGGTTCATGACAAATATTACGGCCCCAAAGATCCCTGACGGTGAAAAAGTGGACTTTGACGTGAGTCAGCCTTATTAAATACTTCCTTCTTGATTGAAATATATATTAGTCTCTGATTAGACAAACAGACCACTTTTCCAATCATGTTTGACCCTGATCTGCTCCTCTGACGGCAGGACATCCACAGGAAGCGTCAGGAGAAGGACCTGTCTGAGCTGCAGTCTCTGATCGAGGCTCACTTCATCCAGAGGAAGAAGGAGGAGGAGGAGCTCATCGCCCTCGTTAACAGAATTGTGAGTGCATCAGGAGCCAGTGTGTGCTTGTCTGGTGGTGAAAACTCAGTTACATGTGCGGTTGTGCATTTTGGGGTTTTTTAGGAGAAGCGTCGTGCTGAGAGAGCCGAGCAGCAAAGGATCAGGGCAGAGAGGGAGAAGGAGAGGCAGGCCAGGCTTGCGGTATGATCCACCTGTGCATCAACTTACATCCTGACAACACAGTTCATAATACCAGGCAGCATGGTGACAGTATGTTTCCTTCCTCTAAATGACTTATCTTTGCTGCATACAGGAGGAGAAGGAACGTAAGGAGCAGGAGGAGCACCGTAAGAAGCATGATGAGGACGCCAAGAAGAAGAAGGCCCTTTCAAACATGACCCAGCAGTACAGTGCTGGACAGAAGGTCATCCAGCTTCTTGTGGCTTTAGCTGTTAAATATAATGACCAAGTCCTACAAGTATCTCTGAGCTAACTTAATGAGTGTGGTTTCCTGGTTAAAAGAACAATGTAGAAGTGTCACATCATTCATTTCCTTAAAGTTTGAATGCAACCAAACCTGTAATGTCCCAATAACTGGTGACTATGTTTATAAGTTTTTTTAAAAGGATACAAGTTAAATGTAGCCTCCTACTGTGTTCCCAAAATATTTGCATGCAAGGCTATATATACATATATATATATATATATGAATGAAAAAATAGGCTGAACATATAAGGAAAAGCCACACAATTACAGTTATGGTACATCTAATCAAGCACCGGTATTGGAGGACTTTTATTTCACTTCAGTATTTATATTTAAATAACTTAAATGTAATGGACAGCTTTAAAATCTTGTTATTTTGCAGATTAAATTACCTTTAAACGGAATAAAGAAGTTCCATCATCTTCTGCAACAACATCATAATGTTGCTCATAAATATTTGAAACACATCAGTAAAATGTTGAAAACGTTGAAATCAGGACTTTTACTTACAATAGATTTTTTTTACATTGCTGTATTAAAGCTTTTATATAAGCAGAGGATCTAAAAGCTTCTTCCACCATTATGTTAACAAGTTAATAATGATAATAGTGATATGTTTTTTTCATTCATTTTAATAGTCCTTTGTGTGAGAAAGTAATTCCAAAAATCATATCTCCTTAAGTGTTACATTCAGATTAACGTGTGCTTATTCTTTATCTAAACGACGCAGAGTGAGAGCAGGAGAGGAGGCAAGAAACAAACTGAGAGGGAGAAGAAGAAGAAGATCCTGGCTGACCGCAGGAAGCCCCTCAACGTTGATCATCTGAATGAGGACAAACTCAAGTATGACCCAAGCTGTGCCACCAAATCTTCACCACTATATTAAAACAAATAGCTCATGTTAGCACAAGAATAGATCCGAGCAATATTAGGAATCTTCATCACACATTTTTGGCATGACGTTGCTCTCAATCAGACTTGTGTTTGTGTTTAGGGAGAAGGCCAGCGAGCTGTGGCAGTGGCTGATGGGTCTGGAGGCTGAGAAGTTCGATCTCAGTGAGAAACTCAAACGACAGAAATACGATGTAAGTCATCCAGTGCCGACCAGGAACTCATCTTTTAATAAATTCTGTCTCCAATGACAAAATAAGAAATATTTCTGATTTATGACAGAAAGACAGAAAAATATCTGAAGACAAAATCAGAAAAATAAAACTTCTCATCCTTATATCTACAATTATGGGATATCAGGGTTTTGTATTTTAGTGTCCTCTACAGTGTTTCTGCTCCAGTCTGGACACTGTGACCAAGAGCTAAATCTGATATCAGTCAGAACAACATAAAGTCTTAATCTAAGTTAATGTTCAAAAGTTAACGATAAATAGCATGTCCATAAGTTGATTCCCGTTAGGCATCCTGTGTTGTTAAAAACACTTAAGTTTATGTTTCCTTGCAGATTAACCAGCTTCTGGCTCGAGTCCAGGACCACCAGAGGTAAGTACACAGCCCCCGAGTAGATTTACTCTTAATTACCAGGACCATCTCTATTTGAATTACTTTCTAATAATGTTAAACATCTTGTCTACAAGTCCACTCAACTACCTGTTGTGTCATGTCATACCCATACCTTTCCATGAAGTAGATCAGAGACATCACTGAGTGAAATCATTTATTTGAGTACATTCTCTGAATCCTAAAACATACTGTAAATGAGCCACAACCCTCTCTGTTCATTTTCTCTATCTTCCACCGCAGTCATGAATGCTCTAGTAAAATTTGCAGTGTGTCTGCACTTAACCCGTTGTACGCAGTCATTTTGTACATCTTAAAGAGTGAATCGGAACATGAGTGATAAATTGTGATCTAAAATGTCAGCACAGCGTTAACAACATTTGAGAAAAATGCACGAGGGTCAGGGTACATGCCCACATTTAAGGCTTACCTGTGGGCATGAACAGGATTTTTGATTCTTGTAATTTGAACAAACAGTGACAGTAAGTCTAAGAATAGAAGACAAAGCATACGCCCAAATCTCAAGAATATATCAAAGGAAATCTCAAATATTTGGAGCTGAACTCTTTGCACTTAAACCATTATTGGTTTGATAATTTCTGAATCATCTTTCCTCAAATGATTCTTAAAATACAGTTTTGGACTTCTGTTTTTACTATCAGTTCTCTACTGCAGAAGTGCACCCCATGTTGGTTGAATTGTTAAGTGCTGCAATTGAAGGACACCCATTTTGTCCTAAACTCGCTGTTTGCTGTGCTTCTTCAAAAATTTTTAGTGCCAAAGGTCGTGGCAAGGGCAAGATGGCTGGCCGGCTGAGGTAAAGCTGCTGCGAGACAAGGTTGAAGCAAATCGTGACACCAGTGAAGACCCCGCGTGTCTATCGTGCATGTATTCATTGTTCTGTTGTGTTGGGTTACATGTCATTTATCATGATATCAAAACAATAAATAAGTCATTACACCCACTCTGCTGCCTTTCTGCAAACTATCTGTGGACATCTGTCCAACAAACAACACAAGACAATAACCCCTTCATACAAAAATTCAAGCTGAACAGCAACAAATGTGTCTGGCTTAGCACTGCCCTGTGTCTATATAAAAATAATACTATATTAGCGGTAAACCAAAAAATATGTAAAAATGTCTATTGTACAATAAAAAGATCTAAATTAATTGCATTTCTTTGGAAAAAATTAGCAGCAGACACATTATTTTGCCATCATCTAACAAGGAGAGAATCTACATGATGTAATACGGTTTGTCATTTCTACTTTTAATTCGGATCTACAGTAAGAGCAGACATTCCCCAGCAAAGGCTCCACATAGTGGCGATGCAAAACATTATCTGTATATTTACTGTTTTAATCACATTAAGAAAAATATTATAATCTATGACAAGAGCATGTGTGATGCTGATGGTGAGGGACTGAACTATACTGTCCATCATCAAATCAAAGTCTTTGCTGTACATTAAAACTATGTTTCGATATAAACATATCGACACCAGTGCATTTTCAGGTTGTTTGTTCTCGGCAGGGGAGGAGGGGTTTAGAGGGGTGGATGGTTCGTGAGGATGACAGTCCAAGAGGGATGAGGAGAGCTGAAGAGAGTTGCTCTCACCACAGGTGGGTTTCTCTGATCTCTGCTATCACTTGGCTGGCTTTCTGCAACGCCTGGACACAGGGGTGATGAAAGGTAGTTCAGTAATTGCTGTGGTACACTGTTTTCACATCAACAACAACTTGTACACTGAATGTTCAATGTTTGAGACTCGTACTGTGGTGCAGCTCTTCTTACACTGAGGACAGGATTAAAGTTTGTCAAGCCTGTTGTAAAAGTAGCTCGATGCCTTTAAGTACACTAAAACTGGTCATAATGGCCATTATGAAGGTGCCTTTCTATTGAATATAGGTGATGGCAGACAAACAGCATCATCTTTTTAATCTACTGCAGCTCAACAGGAAAACACTGTTCTAGAAGATTTCAAGCATTTCCCCTGTTAAGCTGCAGAAGCAACAAAAAGAGGGAATTTGGTACAAAAAACATTCACAGTTTAGAAAGTATCAATGTCATGCGACAAGTTTGGACACCTGAAGCCTCCTATTAGCTTGAAACGATAGCTTGAATATATGTTTATACAGAAAGTTGTGGTAGATTTGGTTGTTCATTACTTAGGAAGGGAAATTAGGATGTCCTGTATGAACAGGAGGAATATTCACAGGACGAAAAACCAGGTACAATCTACCATGCTACTAAAAAAAGGGAAGAGGCTGGATCTAGTTCCTCAGTGTAATTTTTAGTTGACTTGTTTTGAGAAAAGTGATTAGTGTAGAAGATAGACCTGCCAAAAGTCCACTGTATATATATATATATATTCTCCAAAAATCCTCTTTCTCATTATTCTGGCATTTAGTGAATAGAACATTTTTTTGTAATCTAACTGACGTAAAACAGGAAAAGTTTAATCTGATTTACATGTGATAGTGAGGAAAAAAAGGTTATTTATCTTTTTATATTGTGTATGTAAACTTCTGGTTTCAACTGGATATGAAATGAAAATGTAATGTTCTCTGTGTGATTGACACTGGCTCTTTGTTTTGGTGTTTGCTGTGATGCATCGAATCTGTCACCTTGAGCATGTCAGCAGCCTCGTTGCGTCTCTGAGCCATGTCCTCGGACTCGGTCAGCAGGTCATTCAGCAGAACTGTCTTGTATAACTGACCCACCAGCTCACTCTGCAGGCAGTCCTTCACGTGGTTCACCAGAAAGTGCATCACTGCCTTTGGTACACTGAGGACAAACAACAATGTATTGAGGAAGATGCAGTGAAGTACATAAAAATTGGTTCAAAACTGCCAATATTTGCATCTTGGTCGATAAATTATAAACTAAAAAGACTTGATTGTGTTTACCTGTCTTGGATGTTTTTCCGAACAATAAGGAAATATGATTTAATGAGTCTCTCAATGACCTCACAGTCCCTCTGCTCCCGAGCAGACAACTTCCTGGACACCGGAACAGGCTGGCAACGAAAAGGTGTCAAATGAGCTTCTTAATGCACATATTGGCAAGAGACCAGGGAAATTCAGACAGAGATAAGATAAGTAGTAGTAGTAGTAGTGGTAGTAGTAGTAGTAGTAGTAGTAGTCGTGGTAGTAGTAGTAGTAGTAGTAGTGGTGGTAGTGATAGTATTACGGCAAAGGACATAAGAGGAGCCTCAGCAACTTACCTACATTTTTCCCTAAACATTTACTATTGCTTATGAAAAATAGCTAAACTTTAGAGTCCAGGTATTTCTACAAATGCAGAGTACCCACCACATCCAACAGGTTGACAGCGTGACCCTTCTGGGGGCTTGCAGGAGGCTGCATCATGGCCCTGTCACTAGCTGAACTCTCCTCCCCCCTCCTCAACATGCCCCTCCAGCCGCCTGTCGCAGTGTCTATCTGCTCAGGTGCAGGAGCGCTCTGAGAGCTGCTGGCTGCTGCCTACAGGGAGGAGAGAGCTGAGGGTGAGGATCTGTCAGGGGTAAACACCTAGAAGGTCAGTAAACGTGTCATGGGCATAGAAAGTAAGGAAGAGATTAAACAAAAAGGTCCATAAAACCAGTCCACATTTATCAGACGTGTTATGATTTCACAGTAGTATTAATTAGCAGCATGCCATAGGCCTTCTTTGACTCCACTGCAAAGAAGTTCATCTGGACCAGTGTTTATTCTTCTGGCTTGGAGCTGAGCAAGCAAGGGGGACTGGTGGAAAACACTGACAGGCAGTGTGCAAAAATTACACAACCCAGGCTTATGAGTGAGTGACATGATGGTGTTGATCACGACACAGTAGAGAACTTTCAAAATGATTTGATAGAATCCTGATTGTGATTGGTAATGGGGTTAAATTTACCAGACTGATCAAAAAGACAAGTACTTATGTATTTTTCATCACATTTTTCATACTGCTGTTATTAAATTACATGTGCCATTACAGAATATTCTATTCATATCACCCACTCTACTTTCTGTCAGAGTGACCAGCATGCAGAGAAAAGGGTTAGATGTATATTACAGAGTGAAGGTAACAGGTCAGATAAGTTAGGATTTAAGAGCTAAAAACCGCTCTTCCATCCCACTACAGTTGTTGGGCACTGAGGACAAAACCAAATGGTGGAAAGGGGGTTTTGGTTGATTTTAGAGGAATTAAAGAAGGGCTTGGTAGTGTTTAGTGGTCAGATGTAGACAGGCAGCGAGTGCACGGGACACACCTTGGGGACCTCGCCCTCAAAGGCAGGAGGCTCAGTGGGGGAGAGAGATTGCCCACCTGGGCCTTTAAGGGACTAAAGAAAGACACAAGGAAGAAAAGAGCGGACAGAATACTGGCAGGAGCTTAAGGCAGAGGTGTGAATGAGCTTTACATTCTGTAAAGTGGAGAGAATAACTGTGCTACATTTCAAAATAGATGTCTGAAGTTGGCCAACACTTTGCTAAGAGCAGACTGGACGCAACGTGATAGAAAATCTGTTAACACCTGTTACAAGAAAAGACCTGGATAGAAACTCTCACAGACGGACTCTACCTTGTCTCTGGGAACAGCAGAAGGCAGGTCTCTCATCCTATTACGTCTTTGTTCCTACAAAACAAAAGATTGACAAATGTACCAATGGAGGAAGAGGAGCAGAGAAAAGGTTTTCCATGATTCAGAAAACTGTTTCATTTGTTCTTTTCTCAAAACTTTTCACTCATTTGTGCTGTGCTGCCACTGACATGAACATTAGGATTAATGCTAAGTGAGGTCGTGTCTTCACAATTATAAACTGTAAGCCTGAGATTATTGTAGAGGATTTTAAAACGCTGCATTAAATAAACGCATTATGTAAAAAGAAATGCATTTGTGTCTGTAAAAGCAGAGGTTAATCTCTTACTTCTATGTTGTTGTTCATGAGGCCACAGGCATCAGCAAAGTCGGGGTGTTTGGTGTTGATGTAGGCCAGCTCAATGGCAACCAGGTTATGAACCTGAAAAGAAATTCAGAAAATGGATTAATTCGATTCAGACGCGAAATCCCTTAAACATACTGATTAGTATTCAGTGCAAGCAGGTCCTGACCATATCATTTGTGACTGGGAGTCTTTTCCTGAGAAGGGAGGTGACCACTTCTACAATGGCATCGTGGAGCTTTGGGAACCTCAGCAACTCCTGCGTCAGAGATAAACAATCACCGTAGATAGCATTAGCCATTGCAGTGTTGTGTATTTACCTCTGTGCTTTGCTTGTTAGCAGTATGTGTATTTAAATATATGTTTGGGTGTTTCTGACCTGTGTGCTATAGTTGCTGCAGTGTTGGATGATCCTCTGCATCTCCTCATGAACCAGCTCCACACAGCGCAGACTGGGCTCCTCCAAACGTTTGATCTGCCGCTTCACGAGCAACTCAAACGAAACCTCAGGCACAAATAAAGCAGGCCTCGGGCCCTGTAAAACACAATTAAAGTGTGAGTCTTTTCAAAGCTGAATGTTACAGATGAAAACAAAGAGAGGTAGCAGAAACCCACTGTTGCATTTCTGATCGCTGTGAGCACATCGATGGTTGTCAGGCCACCCAGAGGATCAACTGATTCTAATGTGCGACCAAACGTTTCATGAAATATATAACAGATTCTTGCTCCACCACATCTAAAAAAAGAAAAAGAAAAGAGACCACATTAAACTTACAGGCTGAATCTGTTTTCAGTAGATCATTCAGGAGAGAGCGATGCTAGCGCCCCTTGGTGGTATGTGAGAGTACATGTAGGCCAGAGAGTTGTGTAACTCACAGTTCAGCTGTCTCAATGTACTTGGCTGTGCCCTCGATGGTGTGGCAGTACTCTGCAGCAAACTTGGTGATGAGCTGCAGCAACGTGGCGCTCTTGTCATCGACGGGTTCACCATAACTGTTGAGCAGAGACTGGTACTGCGCTGCCAGCACATTGATCCTCGTCTTCAGCTCAGGAAGACAGTCTCTGATGTGGTGCATGAGTAACCTACAATAACATTAAAGAACAGCTTTCACTTTCGTTAAAAATCAAAGGAGACTTGTTATAGACTACAACAGTTATTAACAAGGACGATTTTAGAAGTCATATTTCACGTCGTCAGAAAGGATGTAAACGTCAAAAACACAGGTCAGCAGGTGACTAGTACATTTCATTTGTTATGCCATAAAACAGTAAACGCCCAGCATATAACATTAAAGGAACACAAACATTTTAATGTCATACCTGTTCAGTGTTCTAGCCAGATATTTGGTTCCATTTCTGTTCGCGAGGGAGGGGTACCGCTTTTGTAGGAAGGCATATTCATCACGGATAGAATCTGCTACTAATTTCTTTTGATTGATATCCAATTGACTCCTACAAAAACATGAAAGCAAAAAAAAAAAAATAAATAATGACGTGATTAGGTGTTTGAAATGTACTTTTCTCTTGTTTTACTTCAGTCCGTGATGCAACTTTATTTGAGCATCAATACCTGTTAACTACTCCAATAATGCCCAGTTTGACAGGAATAACTCTGCCCATCAAGACATCCATAGCATCTGTGCCAGCATCCATCAGGTCCAGCTTGGTCACCACTGCTAGTGTCCTTCTGCCTAAACACAGAAACACACAAAACTAGTTACAAAAACACTGCTGTGGCAAGAAAAACAAAGCACACAAGTAGGGAAAATATGGGCAAATGCTGATGATGCATTAAAGCTGCTGCAGGCAGTATTTTTTCAGTGTCACTGGGCAAAAAAATCAACAATAACCTTATAGCAAATTGTAATTGCAATGGTCTAAGTTGAAACCTCATTTCAGCTCCTCCTCTTGATTCTATTTTCAGACTATAGAAAATCAAGGCTGCGACAGACGAATCGAGGCAATCATGAGTCTTTTCAGCCAGATGAGACGAGAGTATGAACTCCACAGTTGAAGTAGTGTGCAGTGGCAAAAAGGTTTCAACAGAGGATATTCACTCTGGAGAGTGAGGTTTGAATCCTGTGTACAGCCAGACGTAAATGTGGACATCTATTGCGATTATATTTTGTGCATATACCTGTGTTCCTCTGGTGGGAGGGACTCAGAGAGAGAAAAGCCGTAGGAAGAGGGCTGCATTTTTAAATTCTGACATTTTTTGCCTCGTCCAAGGTTGAATTGGAAAAGGGAGTTTTCTGCCTACTGCAGCTTTGAAAGAAGAAAGTGAAGAAAGAGCAAACAAGAATACCATCAGGGTCAACCTCACGCGCCACCTTTAGTGCCTCTGAGGTTGCCATGTCTGTGTTGGCAGCAGTCACAGCCAGGATGATGGAGTTGGGATTGGAGATGTACTTCAGAATCAGTTCTCTGATCTGGATCTCTATGTCTTTGGGCTGGTCTCCCACTGGTACCTGTATTAACAAATACACACGGCATTAAAACCATTACAGGACTTAAGATTTTTTATTATCTTTTCCCAAAACATTTGAAATGGTCCCAACAGTCAAAAAAATATGTAAAACTAGTGAGGCATAACAAGGTTTCTAATTATGTAATTCTATAGTCATGGTCAAAGTACATGCATTTATCAACATTTACATAACATTTGTCCCTTTAAAGCTATATATAACAATATTTTTTAACACTGTGACTATTCAATTATCTTGACCTCGGCCCTGGCACGTAGCAGAAAATGGACAAGTAGATTAACCATTAAGAAATACATAAATTATTTAAAGCTGCTGTTGCATAAGGGTCAACAAGCCTCCTATCTCGTTTCTGTGGATAACAAAGATGATAATAAAGTATGAAGCAGTCTTCTTTATGCACAGTCCACTGTTGCAGTTCTCAGATGTGTAACGTCGCTTGGGAGCCCTTGCAAAGGTTAAAACTAGTCTGACTGCATACTGGAGGAAACAGGAAATGTTCAAGAAGTTTTTTAATTAATTAATTTTCTTAATACCCTGAACTGAATTCAGTGATTTTAAAGACTTCTTAAGATCTGCACTACACTGTGTAAAATTCATCTGCAGGATCATTTGGTCTTCATAGATCGCACCGGTTGGGACATGGGAAAGCGGAAGAGAAACCTATCTCACCTTTGTAATGCCAGGAAGGTCCACTAACGTGAGGTTCACAACATGTGGGGAGAAGATTTTCAGGTGAATGGGTTCATCGCTAATACCCTGGAAAAACACAATAGTGTCAGTTCAGTGTCAACATTTAAGCACGATCCAGTTTCTCTACGGAGGTCATTTCTTGTTTGGCAACTTTTTATGTTTTGTCTTATTAGGCGTAACTAGCATACCTTGTTATTGCCAGAAATTCTTTCTGTTTCTGTTTCGATTTCTTGTCTGATCTCCTCAAAGTCTGTGTAGATCTGAAATCAAAGTTTGACCAGGAATGTTAAGGGCGGTATTGACAAGCAACATCAATGCAAGAAGTAGTTCTTGATACTCAAACAATAAGGGCAACAGAGAAGGACAAAAAAAAGAGCACGAGAGAGAGAGAGTTTACAAAGAAATCCCGAGAAATCCTGTTTACTGTCATGAGGCTATGAGGACATCATAAAGGCTTCTTTGTTCAAACATGAAGAACAACTATAAAGGGAGCAGAGAGCCAGAATTCAACCTTGGCGGACATTTACCCTTCAGCCATATAAATATTTTTAGCAGCTGACAGGGTGTGTGCCTGATCTCATTACAGGTTGGAGATGTTTCTGTTGTAAACATAACACCAACATATAAAATGTCCTCCTGTAGCTAATCCATGAATATGAATCGATACAGGACATAGAACGTGGGTAAACCGCCATTCAGCCGAGTTTATCAAATATTTAGGTGTTTCGATACACAGAGCAGTAGCGGTGGAAACCTCAAATGAAAGCACTGTTTTCTGGCAAGCAAGACTGTGAGAACAGGGTGAAAGCTCTACCTTGTTTTTGGTGTGTAGGAATTTTCCCCATTCTTCTCCATCGATTCCTGTAGAAAAACAAAGTCGAGGACAGATGTTTCATTTACTGATTATGTGACAGATGTGGCCTTTGAGAACAATGTTACTGTGATTATGATCCCTGTGTTAAATGTCTCAAGGGAGGATTCTTTTTTTTCTTGGCAAAGATGGGATGGAAAAATTCTTCAGAGAAAACATTCACAACTGAAGAGTTTTGGCTTAAAGAAAAAAGAAAAAAAAGAAAAGAAAAAAATCATTGGCGTAACTGTTGTTTCACACAACAGTAATGGGAGAAAATTATAGGCAAAACAAACACGTGCATTCTGGGAAGCAGAGACTGAAGAAACAAAGTAATGATTTTAGCTGCAATAATCAACATTATAACAACTTCACAAGGTTGGATTCTGTTAGTGATCTCGAGGAAGTTAATGGCTTTTAAACTCAAAAATTAAGCATAATAATGATTTTTCTTTTTCTTTTTTTAACAAGAAAATACTAAGTCTTCTTTTCTCACTTCAACTGACAGAGACCAGCCTACATGGAGGGAAGGACATGAGCTGAATACACGAAGCCACATGGTTTGGCAGCTTAGGAAAAGCTACACAAATACAAGGCAGGATGAGGTAGAATGGGCAAAAAAGAAGGGTGGGGGGTGGCGGATGGGGATTATGTAATACACAAAAAGAACAAGGAAAAGGAGACCTCTGTAAAGGCGCCCATTTCTCTTGGATTCTGTGGTTAAAGAGAGATGACAGGAGACAAAAGGGTTAGCCTGGCTATCTGCAGCTCCTGCATGAGACTCTGCAGCACTGCAGAGTCGCTGCGAGGACATTCCCAGAGGACAGCACTAAATACATGCAGGATCTTAGCACATTTCAGTCACCTGTTCTTTTCACTGAGAACGAAATAATCTCAATGCTGAGTCTGAGCCGAAATGCTATCCTTTCATCAATATAAAGACATCCCACAGTTATGAATTAAGAAGTGATATAACAGTAAATGCAGAGATGTCTTCGGATCAGAGAAATAATCTATTTAAAGAGCTCCCCTTACTTTAAACCTTCTTCAAGCTATGATCTTATTCAGTGAAGAGGAAGCATATTGCAGAACTCCAGCTGCTGAAATTGATTTAGTTTCCAACTATCTGTCTGAATCACGTACTAACTGCAACATCCTCATACATTTAGCTGACTAACTTTAGTGTGGAAGTGCACTTGCTATTCCACTCAGTGCTATTACTTCTGATATGCTTTCAGTAAAAACACCAAACTATATAATATGTGTCATATACAATTGTAAAAAAAAATGGGATCCATAGTAAGATAGTTTTTTAAGTCATGTGTTTGTGTCTAATGTTGGCCAATATATCATCATTGGATTTTATAAAACGCCACAAAACAGCATCCACAAAAATCTGGTCCTGCCCCAGCTATAATGCAATTGTAAAATACTGATGATTAAATTGTTTATCTTGCGGCACAATGTTAACATCCAACAAAGTCATGACAGCCAAATCACAATCCAGGTACAGATAAAGAGAAAGCGATATTACCATTTTCTTCGCTGGCTTTTCTGCTGTCCTCTGGCTCGATGTGCACGAGTTGTAGGATGAGGGGCCGGCGCGTGACGATGCCAGTGCCGCGTGGAAGGATGTCTCTGCCAACCAGGCTCTCTAAAACAGAGCTCTTCCCACTGCTCTGTAGACGACAACAACATCATAAACAAAACCACTAAATGTGGAGACTGAAGTATGCATGAGTCACTTATTGACCAGAGAAATGCAGATACACACAAAACACCAGGCTGACTTTGGTTTTATTTATTCAAGTCTTTAAGGCCGTTTCCACTGAACAAACTTTTTCAGGGACTCTGAGTTTCTAACTACATTTGAACAGAGGAGCTGATCTAAATTTATTTGCTTGTCCACCCATTAGGACTTCTCACAGAGCCTTTGTTTAGGGAGCTGTACTTTGGGATGGCCTAGAAACTATTTAAGCAGAGTTGACACTGCTCACAGGTCGAACACACCTTCTTTAACTTGCACAATATTCATTCACACAATAGGTAAGCACTATGTGGCATAAGGACCAATGTCAGGGGTGAGTTTCTCATAATGTGTAAAGAAGTTCGAGGTAATCACCTCTAAATAGATCTCATGAACTGAAATACATCATTTAGCTTACCTGGCTCGCAGATTCTTTAATTTAAAAGGAGTTCAGGGCTAAGTTGGTGACACTAGCAGTAAACCTGTAGTTGTATTGACTGATAATCTAATGATGGCCACTACACACTACAGATAGCCAATTATTAATGATGGCCACTACACACTACAGATAACCAATTATTAATGCTGGCCACCTAGTTTCGGTTAGAGCTGCCCTTAATTAGAGGTTTTTGTCGATCTCAACCTTTGCAGAACACTGACAAGGGCAAACCTCACAAATCAGGCCTTTAAATCGTCCTTTAGCTTGCCTTATCTCTGATGCTGCCAAAAGGGCTGAGACAGTCACATCCTATAAGCCGACCAGTGAAAGCAAACGTGATAGAGGAAAATCTGCCACTTTAAACCAATTAGGCTCTAACGTGTACACAAGGCAGCAACGCAGATGCTGTTTAACTGTATGAGAGAAGACAGATCAAACTCAACTTTATGGTCATTAATAGTTTGTGGTGCTGCTGAATTGTACTAAGTTAGAAGACTCTGAGAGGTGTAAAAGCTTGTTCATCCTTCACAGTGGTGTAAAGTACATTTACTTAAGTACTGCACCTAAGTAGAATACTTGGGTTACTGTACTTTACCTAAGTATTTCCATTTTCTACTACTTGTATTACTACACTACAATTCAGCGGCAAACACTCTATTACAGTTATTTGAAAACATATATTACGAGTTACTTATATGTTGAGATTAATAACAACACAACAAGATCTAACAAATGGTGATAAATGCAGATAACAAATTAGGACTACCAGTTGTTGAAAAGTCCAGCAGTGACACCTTATGATTTGATTAAGATAAAACTTTATTGATACCAGTGAGGATATTTACGATGACTCAGCAGTAAATAAAGTAATTACAATCAGCTTCAGCTTTACCACCTGCAACTTTAAAGTGATTAACACATGAATGCAATGCATCAATAATCATTGTCCAATAATTGTAACTACTGGTATATAAAGTACATTTTGAGGCTAATACTTCTGTAGTTTTACTGAAGCAACTATTTGAATGCAGGACTTTTATTTGTAACAAAGTATTTTTACACTGGTGTTGTTACTTTAAGTTAAGTATAAGATCTGAGTACTTTTTCCAACACTGACCTCTTTGAAATTAATAAAGGCAGATTAAACATCACCCAAAATACATTAAAACATCTCTAAAACTGTATCAGCAAAAACTGCATATTGCATCCAGTGTGAATATAGCATTTATTCATGGGCTGTTCACTTTTATTGAACTGCATTTTGTTCCAACCAGATGTATTTCATAAACTGTTAACTTGGTAAGTGACACTGTATGTTGTGCATTTTAGGACACAACATAGCAACTCATATTTCCCATACACAACACAGATAAGAGGAAACTGATTTTGTAAATCTGTTAAAGTTAAATAAATCAGCATTTTATTTTATGTTTAGGATACTGAACAGAAGGCTAAAGCATGTTGACAAATGTTCCTGTCACCTGTCAAACTGCCAGAGTCTAAACGTGAGACCACATATGGCTAATGCTAACTTAGTTGCGTTAACTAAGAAAGGCCAAACACATGCATAAAGTCAGTCTAGACAGTTGTGAGTACTGCATCTACATGAAACTGAAAGAAAACTGTGGTACAGACAGGGGAAGCAGCCAAAACAATAAGTTGTCGCAGGCTAACTAACTTGCTAGCCTTAAAGCAAAGTGACGTTTCTCACCTGGGTTCCCACAACAACTATCTGCGGCAGTTGGATAATATCTGCGCCGACTGTGTTAAAAACGTCCTGCAGTTTGTTTATGACAGGTATGAGTGCCTCCATTAGCTCCGATAAGAATCCCGACCTGTCAAAAAAACAACTTTCTTAACGTTCCCAACACACGGGTACAAAGTCATTCAATGTCCCTCAGCTAAAGCTACTGGCGTCTCTTTGGATCTGCCAACAACTGCGCACTCAGTCACTCACAGTTGCATCATGGGAGTTGTTGTTCAGTACGTTACCGTTCACAATTACTTTGTTCGCAGTTCGAATTTAACCGAACTACATTTCCTATAGATGACATATTGTGTGCACTCCACCAATGAAAACAAAGCTCATTGTTTTTTTCCCCTCAAGGCAATGGTAACTAAGGTGAACACCAAAATATTTATATGGCACATAATAACATATAGTATGTACGTGGTAAAACCAGTATGACCACAGTTATTTTATGCATCTTTTTAAGCCTCTGGAAAATTGACTCACTGTACTCAGACAAAAGCTTTCTTTTATTTCTGTAATTCTGATTTAACACATGGCTTTTGTCTCATGAAAGTTGTCTTTAAGCTAAACAAGATACTATTATGCCCATACTGTCTATGATAGTATTTGCTCATTTATGTAATATTTTTTGTTTGTTTGTAAATATGTACATAAATAACGATGGGAGTGGGGTACGGAGTGACTGATGGTTGAGCTGGAGAAGGGGTAGGAGTTAATGAGCTTGTGCTTCGTCCTACTCCTTTTCGGATACGTTGGGTTATTTGATGTTGCTTTGTATTGTTGATGTTTTGAATATTTTGATTTGTTTTTGGGCTTTTTTATTTTTCTCACGTCTGAAATCAAAACAAACATTCATTCATTCATTCATACAATAACACTACAAAATGTTGATTAAAGTCCCAGTCTGTCTTAGTCTGACTGCAAAATAAGCACATAAGAAAGAAAAACAACCAGTGTTGTTTCTACAATTTATTTACAAAATTGAAAGTGCTTTTGGTTATTTTACAACAACATCAATGTATGAAATAAATATTGCACTGCACAGTGTCAAATGGAACAAGTTTAGCGGAATGAGGTAACAGACATGTTAGGAAAAGTGTCTTCAAGGTTCCATCAACTACTCAACCAGATTAATAAAATATGAGAACTGATGCGTTTATATATACGTGCAGCATTTCTTTAACACTGAAGTACTGCAGTGTATAAAATACATGCCAGCGTTTTAGAGTGACCTTTTTTTTCAATACAAAGTCTTGCCACTTGTGATATGAATCCTTGAAACTCTAACATGTACTACAGTAAGCTTAAAGTCTGACTCTCTGCGAGTTACTTTACACATAGCAGTAATATGTAGTATATGTAGTTTGTTTGACATCAAAAGCTAATGCCTCTGAGAATTTTTGGTTAGATTTTGGGCCATGTGATTGTAAATCCAGCTTTAATACCCCCCCATCTAGAAAACATAAGAAAAAGTGTTGCCTTTTTCTGTATTAAAGGCCATCTCAAGCTAATGTCCTCTGCAACTACAAGGTACACAAAATAATGGAAATACCTCATGAAAATATGGCCCTAAATCAGAAACACAGTCCAGTATTGTAAAAGCTACCTAAAACCTTAACAATACAACAAAATTTGGAGTCAAAAACCACAATAGAGTTGAAAAAACATTTCTAAATCAGTTCAAGAAAACAGAACATTCTGAGCTTCACAATTAATTACATTAACTGCAGGGCTGTTGCATCAGGGTTAAACCAAGTCCCAGTAGATCGAAGCCACTTCCACTGAGTCACAAACATTTCTCTGTTACCACTTTTCTACTATACAAATATTTACAATGACTATACAGTTACAATGAATGTGATGTCACCACAAATGCTACAACATATAACATTTTATTTTTTAAAAGTGACTGAAATTGTAGAGTATAAGAATATTTCAAGAAATGTAGTAAACCAAAAACAACATGTGGAGGGTCACAGGTTTTTGTTGACACTGCTGTTCATTTCACAACCATAAGCAAAACTCCACAGGCTGCTATTGTTTCTGCCTATAGGGGTGATTTCAGGCTCACAATAGCAGAGCCTATACAAAGAAACTAAAAACTATACAAAAAAAGTGGTAGCAGAACTAGTGGTGACCTGACACATGTATTGCTGTGCCATATTGAGCAAGACATTTTTATTTTTCACAATCAAAATTTCAGGTGCTTGACAGAAATACTGACAAAATGCTCCCTAACAGCTTACTTCAACTATTAGCAAAACTAGTACAATCATTTACAAGTCCATGAGCAAACACAGTGAATATCCTGAAAATAGAAAGCTTATTTGAATTTAAAACTAAAGGTAGGAAGATAGGTAAACTATGAACTCAGTGCTTGTCACGCTGTGACTGAACGTCAGCTCTCAATGTCGCTGTTCAAGTTTCACAGCATTGAACTAATTGGCTTTCTGCTACCTACTTGGTACAACAATATTGTATCCTCCTAAGGCAATTTAAGTTAAAAATCATTTTATGTTGCATTTAAGATGCAGTGCAGTCAGTGTATGTGGTTACCATATTTCCTCTGCGCTGTGTTACTGTTCTACAGTGTTGCTTAGATGCACCATGAAACCTGTTTTCAGTCTGTTTGGCATGTCTGTCAAAAGTAAACATTCTCTCCATGTCATCAAACATGTCATCAAAGATACCTGCTCCAAAACCACCTTGAAAGTGTCTCTTATGTCTGCTGTGGGACTCCTTCTGGGACCGGGAGTGTTCATCAAAGTGTCTTCGGTGACGGGCGTGCCTGTTCTGGCTGTAGATGTCAAAGTCCTTAAATATCTCGTCAAAGTTGAAACTGAAAGGTTGATGGGTACCCTGTCTTTGTCTGCCTTGTGTCTCCCCAGTGAAGTATGCAGAGGTGTCACCAAACCTGTCATACTCTCTTCTTCTGTTCTCATCTGATAAAGTTTCATAAGCTGCACATGACAAAGAAAAACATGATTCAGTGGGAAAAAGTTTGAAATAGCAACATTAGAAAAGGTGTGGCTGACAAAGACCTATGGCCAATGTAAGTGAAACATATATAGGCCTGAAAAGATAGTGATCTGTACTAGCATTAGACACTTCATCAATAGTAAAAAGAAAACTGCCCGTAGAACACCCATCCATCATCTATACACCGCTTAATCCTCACTAGGGTCATGGGGGGCTGGAGAATATCCCGGTTGACTCAGGGTGAAGGCAGGGGACGCCCTGGACAGGTCGCCAGTGAATTGCACAGCTACACTTAGAGACAGACAACCAAGCACACTCACATTCACACCTATGGACAATTTAGAATCACCAATTAACCTCAACATGTTTTTTGACTGTGGTAGGAAGCCGGAGAACCCAGAGAGAACATGCCAATTCCACGCAGAAAGATCCCAGGCATCCTAACTGGGATCTTCTAGCTGCGAGGTGACAGTGCTACCCACCAAGCCACCTTGCAGCCTGCCTGCAGAACAGCTTCATCTAAATGCATAGGATGCAAACTGCCATGAAAGCACTTTATAAAAAAGCGCAAAGTTCGGTTGCATGAGTAGCCCCAACCACGCTCTCTCTCTCTGGCTCAAAACAGTCTTTCATGTCCTTTGATATACAGCTTGGTATCGCCCTTGTGAGACTGGCTTTGCAATCAGCAAACCAGTTTTCTTTAATTTGTATTCTTTACCCATATTCGGTTTTATTTGTGTGTGTAAATGTATGTATTTGTGTGTTTTTCATTGCCTTCTTATCATTAAAATTATCATCAGTGTAGCTTAATAAATAAATAAGATGTTAAATTATACAATTAGCCTTTATTCTCCTGGTCTTCATTCACATTTGGTCATTAATCCATTATCTATACACCGCTTATCCTTTGTAGGGTCTAGAGCCTATCCTAGCTGACAAAGGACAAAGGCAGGGTACACACTAGACAGGTCACCAGTCCATTACAGGGCAACACAGAGAGACACACCAAGCACACTCACATTCACACCTATGGACAATTTAGATGCAGCATGATTTTGGAATGTGGGAGGAAGCTGAAGCACCCGGTGACAACCCATGCAGATACAGGGAGAAAAATGCAAACTCCACACAGAACGACCCCAGGCCGAGGATCAAACCCAGGATCTTTTAGCTATGAGGCAACCGTGCTAACCATAGGTCGTTAACAATATTAATAATTATCTATATTAACTGGCAGCGTCTATTTACAAATATGTGCATCCAGAGAGAAGTGTTAACAAAGATGCCACCATGAATCAGCTTTTACCACATGCTGGAAAGTACATAAATTCAAACAATGGGCTAAACAATACCCATCTCCCAAAATAACTGACTGTACCTTCTGCAATTTCCCTGAATCTCACTTCAGCATCTGGGCTCTTGTTCTTATCTGGGTGATATTTCATTGCAAGCTTGTGGAAAGCCTTCTTTATCTGGCGCTCAGTGGCCCCTTTGGGCACTCCCAGGATATCATAGTAGTCCTTTCTGGCCAGGATGAGCTCTGTTATCACGAGGACGCACAATGCAAACGTTGCCACAGACTGTGCAGTTGCCATAGCTGCGGTGTCCCCTGTATTCAAGAGAGGAAATGACCATCAGGTAAAGACTGCAAAATGAATAACTTGCATGCAACACAGAAAAAATGTGCGTGTTTATATTAATTCCCATCACCTCCACTAGTAAATAGCTGATATCGTATTAAGTGAGCAAACACAGTTAATATTGCAGGAATTCTCTTTACTAGTCAGATGACACTGGCTCAGACTTCAAGCTAAATATTAGAGTCCAAAGTAATTGATATTGACTTGCTTAATTTATGTTGGGTGTGTAAAGTGAGTAAATAAAACAATTGAACACCATAGTAACTATTTTCTTGACCTGCATTTGGCATCTTGAATTCAACAAATTCTACCAGAAAAGACTTCATGTAAATTAATGCTACCGTATCATAGCCATGCCATACATCAGCCCTCCTAAGGTTAGCTTACACTGGCTAACAAAAGATACCGCCCTCATAGTCTCCTCTCTTTCACCTACCTTTCAGGGGACACGAGTGCTACTTTCTTTGAACACACAAGGCGTAAAAACTGTTCAACCAATGCCGAACATGATGGTTAAGCAGTTAGCTGTGTGCATTGTTTGGTGTAGCGGTTAGGAACAAGATAATTTCCATTTCTTCTTCGCTAGTTGTCCTGTATCTTGGTCACCAGGAAGGAAGACGTTTCTGCCCTCTGTCGGTCAATGCAGTTAATGTTCCCTCTTCTCCTGTCTGACAGTGACCCTGATGTTGTGAGTGTTACAGACTACAACGACGTTTAATTATCGATGTACTTTTGTAATATACAACTATTGTTATAGAGTTCCGAGGACATATTGTGACCTGTTTTAGTAAGTACAAGATAATAAGGTAATAGCGCAGTACAAATATGGCGCTCCATTTTGTTATGAGTAAGTTCCGTCTGCATCAAAGAAGGGTGGAGACGAGTTCTTCGTATTGAGAATTGACTCCGCCTACTCCGGCGGAGTTCGGTGTACGCCGGAATTTATTAAAAGTCGACCCTCTGCAACGGTTAGCCGTGGGGACAATATTCTCAACCAATCAACAGATTTCATTTAAGGGGCCAAGTGACAGACAGCCAATGACAGAGCAGATTGAGAGCCACATGACCATTGTTTTTCCTTCGACAGTCGACCTCACGTCATTCTGGAAATTAAGTGTCAGAGCAAATGACCGAACACACAAGCGGTCAGTGTTATATTTTGTGTCAACGTTAGCGACGTTGGCAATTTAATGACACGATTAAAGGATTTTGAAGAATTTTCTTGAAACGACAACACTGGTATGGCTTGTTATGTTTTGTATGGCCTGTATGAATGCTAGCGTTTTAGCATGCTGCGGTACACTGTTAGCTTGTTGCCTGTGTTCAAGGAGCTAACGTTACCTTTTTCTGAGCAGAAGTTAGATTGTTTTCCTCTTAGCTATGATCAGTTAAAGACAGGTTTAAGTTACAAAAAGCGCTTCGTTTTGATATTTTTGTTTCATGCCATGTCATGTCAACAATCATTGTCTTTTCTGTTTCTTTCAGTTCTGTCATTCATGTGTACATCACTTTTTTGTCGTTCATTACCAGGTTATAAAAAGAGAAAGAGGGAGTATAGATCTGGTATTTCTTTGGATGGCTCAGACCCTGAAAAAATATGAGTAAACGATTGGCTCCAAAAACCTTGGGGAAAATAAGCACATCATTTCATATGTGGCAAGTATATGCTCGCAAGTCAGCAGCATCACTTCCCTTGTCTGGTACCTCTCACTGTAGGATTCATGCACAACATCCTGTGTGCTACAAGGCTGGCTATCGCAGCTGGAAGAATATCCACCACCTGAGAAACAGGGGTCGTAAAGGATGGGTCTCTAACCAGGTCAGACAGCGGCTTGGACTCCACACCAGCACCCTGTATTTGAACACTTCAGCCTCAAAGTGGACTGCTGGTCTGAGCCAACACATGTCGCGGGTCAGGAGCACACTGGACACAGTTTCTAAAGCTGTGAGTGGAACACATACAGATCTTCTGGCCAAAATTGCCCGGCTGAAACCAAATGCTTTAAAGGCTAGGAAAAAGGTTGAGGCTGGTACTGAGTCAACAGCAAATACCGAGGAGAATGCAGTCACACCTATTCCTACATCTGCTACACCCAAACCTGTAATAAACTCATCATCTGCCAGTCCGTCTCTCTCCAATTCCACTACACTTGACAAAAGTGCCGCTACCTCCACTCATTCTCACAGTTCTACGCAAGCAACTGTCCCGGCCACGATCGCAGCTGTGCGTGAGGTTAAGGAGAAAAGACTGAGACGTGTTGTTCCTGCTGTCAAAGCTACTTGTGCCAGGAAGCAAGAGGAGATTCCACCTTCACTGAGGGAGACGGAGAGTAAAAGCACAACTTCCAAGCAAAACACAGCACCTTTCCATCCCAGCACTTTGTCAGTCAGCCTGGATGAGACGTACACCTACCTAGCCCATCACATCAACTCATACTTTGGCAGCTCTACAAAGACTCAGGATAAAAAAGGGGACAGTGTTGAAAAGTCCTCTGTTTCCTCTCAGGATCAACAAGCCTCAGACCTCATTGCACTGTCTGATAAAACAGAACCTGCCACTCCGGCTACCCCACCTTCATCCAGGAGGGGTTTAGGACAGTACCTGTCCTATTCAGCTCCAACTGTGCAAGCATTTGTTGGGAACTACATTGCTCCCCTTGTTCCTAAGTTCAGGACTGTTGATTTCAAAAGTGCTGCAGTGGAAGAGAAGAAGCCTGAAGATGTGTCGGTAAAACATACTGAGGCCACAATTAGTAAGGAGCAGAAGGCTGCAGAGGAGAAAGCCAAGAAACTTCTACTCCAAAGGGAAAAGGTAGGTCTGCAACAGAGCAATATTTCATTCATATTTTTTTCCTTTTAGAGGAAAATAAAGTTAATCAGACAAAGTGACCGGTTCCTTGAATTTCATATGGTTGTGCCGGAGGATTTATATAAACATTTTGTCTTTGTAGTGGAGACCCAGATTCTTTCTATGTGGGATGTGACCTGTATTTGTGTTTGACCCAAACATGATGCCCCCCATCAGTAGGATGGTATACTATAACAGGGTACCTACAGTCCACATATTGACCAACATCCTTGCTACTCTATATGTCTCGGCAATGCGCTGACGTGCTGCCTGAGTTCTGGGAATCTCTTTTCAAAAATAACCTCCTTGTGACAGGGCTGCAAATGGTTTCTACTCTATAGGCTAACCAAACACATCAACATAAACACATCTGCCATCCAGTTCACTGCAGTGCTGCACTGAGTAATTTAAACCCATGACCTACTAACATGCAAATTACAGATAGCGGAAACAATGCACTAATGTCCTTTGGCTAACATCCACAACATTCTTTTGATATGCAGTGGATTATGTTAACAAACTGTATACATATTTGTAAATGAATTTATGATATATATGATAAAAAGTATTTGAAAATAGGTTTTATATAAGTAGTAGTAGTATAGTGCAAGTGAATGCTCAATTTCAGATCAGAACTTGTTATGTTATGATGATGACAGGGATGGTTAAATTGTGACTTTTTTTTTTTTTTACAGCAACAAAGCTGTCACTTTAAATATTTGATAACATCCTTCCACTGTCAGTGGTGCCTTAAAGTAAATCAGTGGCTTCTGATGCATGGACTTTATATTAGTATAGAGAGGAAGTTATGCATCATATCACACACAGTCCTTTTGAATGTTTGGTGTTCTTGTCTCTTAGATTATTGCCAGAGTGAGTGTGGACAATCGAACTCGGGCTCTGGTCCAAGCTCTCCACAGGGCATCAGATGTAAGGGTCTATATCAACAGGGTGGAGGACCTAAGTTACCACCTCTTGGAATTTCCAGAGACTCGTGGTGTTGCAGTCAAGGTGAGAAATCTAAATACTCAAGCATCCTGAGGCAAAGTCTCTGATGTGGTGAAAAGGATCAGCTCTTATGCTGGTAACTTCCTCATGGTGTGAAGGCCGTGTCTAAAGCAGCATGTTTTTTTTATACATAAATTTTCAAGCCATATCTAGTATTAATTGTTAAACAGCTGTAGCATTAACATGTGGAGATTATAAACCTTCTGCTTATGTTTCCCATGCCAGGCAAAATGTCAGTGTGTCAGCATGCTGCTTGTCTGTCATGCCTGAGCTATGCACCTACATGCGGACTGCACACTGTAGCATTTATTTATGTCAAAACATGTGTGATAATGTCAGGAGCTCATTCCGTACGAACCTATTTTAAACCACCGCTGCTGTTGTTGCTATAAAATCAAGGACAATGTTTAGCTCAACATACGGCTGGGAGAGAACATTTTATAGCTTTGCAAATTGCTACAGAAGTAAAGGAAACCATTGCTGTGACTCAGTGAACTGAATTTAGGTCTCAATCCAGCCATACGGTGAAAAAAAAGAATGTCTTCTGAAGTCTCACACATTCACTTCAGCCGTATTATTCAGTCTGTTTTTAGTAGCTGTAGGTTTCATGTTTTATGTACAACCAAGGCTGTGGTCCAATATTTATCACACATTCTTTTTTAATGAAGAAAGTATGATCCATTTCCCATCTTAAATTGATCATGCAGTGTATGGTTTTCAGTCTGATAAATAATGTGAAATAGCAAAACTTGCCAGCCAGGGCAGAAAGTTTGAGAGAGAGAGAGAGTGCGGAGGACAGCTTGTCATTTGGAAAGCATTGATTGTTTGTACCCTTGCTTGTATTACTGCATGTTGACGGAGGGAAAGGAGTTTAATAGGAAGGATGCAACTTGAGTGACAGTTACAAAAATTACAGGGGAAGAGAACAAAGATAAGAGCAAGTAAAATGTATTATTTTCAGTGCAAGGAATGCCAGTGTTAGATGGCTACCTTATAGCCTGTTCTCATTATTTTCTGACCCAGTTTTTGCAAGTAATAACTATCTGGCCAATTCTGCTCGCGCCACATTGTGGTACATTGACAGTGTTTTTCATTTCTACTGCTGACTGTCATTGTATGTCTATGTGTTCCTCAGGAGAAGGCTATCCCATGTCTCCTCCGTCTGGAGCAGGCCAGCGACCCTGGCCTGAGAGCCGCAGTCAGAGAAGCTCTATCTCTGGTGGGCTATCATAAGCCCGTTAAAGGCCGAGGCATACGGATCTTGTCTATAGATGGAGGAGGTTTAAGGTACAAGTTCAGCTCTTCTTTCTTTTCTTTACTGTAAGCTTTGAGTCATCGGCGTTTGTTAAACTGGAGCCAAATAGCATTTACTGTAGGCAGGACGTTTTTCAAGAGCAGTTCATAATGATAAGGGAAGTTGCAGCCATAAGCCATACACTGCTTTTATGAGAAGTTTTAATCTTAAGTAAATTTATTCTTGAGAAACATTCAGTTCCCAGTCTTTTATACATGTGTCAATGTCTGTGTCTGACTTCACACTTTCAGGGGACTTCTTGCCCTTCAGACTCTACACAAGCTGGAAGCCCTGACTGGCAAACCCATTTACAAGCTGTTTGATTATATTTGTGGCGTCAGCACAGGTACGTCTGTCCTCCTGCCCCACTTCTTTATAGCATCCAGAACCACATATATGGATTATCGGAGCGGAGTGCCACATCGAGCAGGGCACAGTCTGAACTGGCAGCGCGGATCACATGCTGACCCATTTGTTGCTCCGCTCTTGTTTTGACCTCAATCTCACCAGCGGTACTGCTCCTGTAAATCCAGCTGCTTTATGCTTAAGTCAAGTTGAAGCAAATCTAAAATTACAGTATGAGTATTGTTTTCACCATATGTGGTTTTAGGAATTGATACTTTCCTAAATCCAAATAGTTAGTCATCGTTTCCCCCAGTATGTAAAATCACCACAAGGGGGTGATGTGGGCTATCCTCAAACTGCTTTCTCCATCTGCTCCTTTCCTCTTTGCTTTTCACAGCAGATTGAAAAACTGCATTTTATTTGCATACCACATTGGACTTTAATCACCACCAGAAGTTTCTGTTTGTCCGTAGTTCTCTCAGCTCTCTCTGTCTTAATCTTCAGCAGTTGGAGGTACTTCATTTTCAGCTTTAGTGAATGTTGTCAAATACAAATACTAATGTAATCTACCTTTTCATCAGACTGTGTTCACACATTTCAAACCTATCTGAGCCACATCTGGCTGGTTTGATTAACCATATTATACAGGTCGACCCCATCTCTCCTCTCGTAGCACCAATGTGCAATATTAATCCGGTTAGGGATTCATAATATTGTAGAGAAAATAGATGTTTTATCACTGAGAAATGCATTGCTATCGTCTCATGACCATGTTCTTTCCATTCATTTCCTATGAATAGGCTATCAAAAGGTACTGGTGCTCTTTACAGACCATCCTTCAGACAGTCACATTCTTCAAATAGTGTTGAGGATAGCACTACAACAAGCTGTGCTTTACCAGTTTGCTGCTTTGTCACCAGCGCAGATGACCTTGCTGCATTTCCAAGGGAATGACTGGAGCTTTTATACAGTGCTGTGTTTGTGAACAGTTGGAAGTTGAACAGTTCTGTTTCTGCATCAATACGACTTAAAACGTCATACTTCAAACTTCATACAAGTCCTTAAAGTAGATAAAGAAAAGCCATTTGAAAATGAGACAGAATGTTATACTCGGTGCTTTATCGATTAAGGTGAATGACCCAATATTGTATATTTGTGGGTGACAAAAGTATGTAAACCTCTGAGATTAACAGTGAATTTGAAGGTGAAACTAGAGTCAGGTATTTTCAGTCAGTAGGATGACAATAAGTTGTACTCTGTTTTATTAAAAGAGGAGGGATAAATCTTCATAACACGCTTGCTGAAGTGTACTCTGACTAACCTAATATAGGATGTAGGTATAAGCCTGCCATTGGCTGTCGTGTCAGACGGCTCTCTCTACTCCTTCTGCTGTCTGTGTTGTCAAAATTTACTTCACTATGGGGAACTAATCATCCTTCAAGACTGAGAATTTCAAGTTTTGCTGAAGATTTAGATCATGCAGTAAGGTAGCCCTGACAGTTTTTTTCTGTGGATTATCTCTTTTGTTGACAGTTCTTGCTTTCATGCATGCAAATGTTTCACTGAAATAATTCCATCCATTACTATTTTCAGAGAACACCAAAATCGCATTCTTCGATTGTTGCAACTGCGATTGGTTTAAAGAAATACAAACAGTCCATGGTGTTTTTTTCCCCCCATGGGAGAGTGATAGTGCAGTGCAACCAGACCATTATGTACTACAGGATGAGCTGGCTAAACAAGATTAGTGCAAGTGTATTGTAGTAGGAACCAAGAAGATATCTGAAAACCTGAGAAAATACGTAGTGAATCATTAGATTGGAAAATATTGCAAAAAATTGCTGAAGAGTTTGAATTTCATCAATCCACAGTCAGAATGACTACAAATTGGGAAAATTCAAGCAGGCGCAGTTGACCAACAAAGGTCACTTCATAGCAATAGTTGTTAGAGCCCAGGGTGACTTCTAAACAACTTAAGGCTCTTAGTGGCTGATGTTGATGTTCGTGAGTTTGTCATGGAGACACTGAACCACAATAGTGTGCAAGGCAGGGCTGCAAAAAGTTTTGCTGCATTCCAGCATAACAATTTTATCCCATCTGAGAAACATGGTGGTGGTAGTATCATGGTTTGCGCAACTAAGCTAACTAAATCTCAAAAGAAAGTGGGTCATGCAGCAAGACAACAACACGAAGAATGGCTAAGTCAAAGTCCTGGCCTTAATCCAACAGAAATGTATTAGGGCCAGAAAAGAGCTAAAAGGTTAATGTAGGAAAAACACACCAACATCCCAAAGTTGAAGCTGTTCTGCATGAAAGAATGGACCAAAATTACGCTGTGACGCATCAACAAGTAACAAAACACATCAGATATTTAAAGCCAAAGATCTCATACGTTTGTATCCAATCTTGGATCAGTTTCTTCTGTAAATAGTAACTAATTATAATGTTTTTCTCTGTTACTAAATTCATTGTCAAGTTTGAGTATGTTTTTGGTAATTTTTATGCAGAAATGTAGAAAATTGTAAAGGATTCACAAACCTTGGAGCACTGCTATAAATCCTGTTCACAATGGTATATTTTTGTGTTGTTTATCTACATCTGTGTCACTTTCCTTCATTTAATGTTTGTGTGTGTTTTCCCTCAGGTGCTGTCATGGGGTTTATGCTGGGCGTGTTCCAAATCCCTCTGAAAGAGTGTGATGATCTCTATCGGAAGTTGGGTTCGGATGTTTTCAAGCAGAATGTGATTGTTGGCACGGTGAAGATGGGCTGGAGCCATGCCTTCTATGACAGCGAAGCCTGGGAGAACATCCTCAAGTCAGTGTCACTGTCTGCTTCATTGTTCATGACAGGATGAAGGTTGTGCCTCGATTCGTGGGAGTCTTGTTAACATGTATTGAAAGTGGCACGGCAAAACAATTTGAAAAACCGTAGCGCCTTTATTGTTAAATGTCTTCCTCCTTTTGTCTAAATAGTCCATAATTATGGGTTGTTGTTTTTTTACAAGATAAAAGTGCAGTTAATTGAATCTGCCTAACAAGAATAGAACCTTCAGCTTTGACGTCAAACCTGTTTTTTTTTGTCAAAGCGGATGAATTTGAACGTTTATTTTACGATGCAACAGCAGTATTTCTTGGATAACCGACATGATGTTCACTCAAATACATTTCAAGTTTCAAGTGAAGTATAAAATTCACAAAAACATATCACCATGACTGGAAACCTGCACTGCATGCTTAAATCTGGTCAGCAGCCTTATAAAGTATAAATAGATTGCTGTAGAAGGCATGAAATCCTTTATAAAAGCAAAATGGCCCAAAGTCCTAATACAATGATATCAGATTCCTTTAACTGATATGTGGGTGGGAGTAATTTCTGAAGCTTCCAGAAAGAAATCTGTAGCCCGTTATAATGCTACCCAAAACTCACTAAACCAGAAAATAACATCACCCTTCTGCACCTCCACAGAGAGAAAATGGGCTCTCATCTCCTGGTTGAGACTTCAAGAAACCCTGAATGCCCCAAGGTGAGCTTTAGAAGATGATCTGACTCATTCTGCCCTCTTGTTCTGTTCTGGCACAGACCAGAGAGTCTTTGCCTCATCTTATTTGCTGTGATATTACACAGAAAGCTTCTCTCTCTATCTTGCTTGCTTTTTCTGCACGACAGGCGAAAGGAAAATACACTCTAAAGCCATATAAGACAGTGTGCCTAAAGAAGTGTATAGGATTTGAGATGTCAGCAGACTCCTCTGTGGCTCAGAGAACAGAGACGATATTGAACTGATCTGTCAGAATGTCAACCTTGATGTTATACCTGCATCTTTTATATGTTTAAAATGCTGCCTTGTAGTGGAAAAAAAAGCCTAAATGCATGTAATTTCCCTTCCCTGTAGGTGGCGGCTGTGAGCACCATTGTGAACCGGGGCACTTCTCTGAAAGCATATGTATTCAGAAACTACAACCTGCTGCCCGGGATGCGCTCGCACTACCTGGGGGGCTGCCAGCACCAGCTGTGGCAGGCCATCCGTGCCACTTCAGCAGCTCCTGGGTATTTCCAGGAGTTCACCCTGGGGAACGATCTCCACCAGGTCAGTCCCATTCACCACGGTTAACTGGGTGGGGAGCAGAGGTGGCACGAGTCAGGAAAAATCTCCAGTCAGTGTTTTTATAAAGCGATAAAGCGATGTGACCTATACAGTGGATTTACATTTGACATTTAAAGTGTAGTTAATGCTTTGATTGAGAATGACTGACATGAACACTGTTAGCTGAATTTAAATTTCTAGGCTTCCATCACGATAAACAAATTTGTCAGTTGCAGAACATAAATAATGGTAATTGTTGTTTAATATGTTCTTTTCTTTGGCAACCTTAAGACCTGGCAGGTTTTACAAATCTGTCAGTCCAAGAAGTTTGTGCAAACAATAGAAGCTCGCAAACCCCTTCAGGGCTGCAATAATTCAAAGTTGTTTTTGGCTCATAAAGTTTTGATGTTTCAGCGAGTGTCAGAATTTTCCCAAACTCAATTTTTTAATACCTTTGGTGAGAAAGATAGTTGTAATTGTAGTTTAGTCAAATGAACATTTTAAAGTTCTCCTTCTGTAAGCTTTGTGCTGAATGTGAATCCGTTTCATGCTCAGAGGATGTGTCTGGGGATGTCTTTCTCAAGAATATTCAACAGACCTTTGATACTTCACACCATAAAACAGAAGAGGATTTTATTACTAAGACACAGAATCAGGATGAAAGCTGAGCTTTCACTTTGCTTTACCTGGTCGCAATCAGAATTATTCACCAAACAGCCAAGTCCCTAAGTCACCTGCATATTTATCAGCCTTAGTGGGTTAACCTGAAGCCAAAGGGGAGGTCACTGACCCATAGTTCTTGAATTGTCTCACGTCTCAGCACACATTTTGTGAGTTGATTGGCTCATCATGGCTCCAGCTAACACAGTTTGATTGTTTTCTGACAGTTGAATCAGGGACTATCTGTACATCACAAAAAAAACCCCCACACATTTTCTAAGCAAAGCCTTTCTAACCCTCATCCTATTATAACTTCTATTCAATAGCATTTAACCTTCTAACCCTCTCTCTGGGCATTTTCTGCTGCTGTCGCATTTTTGCTCTTTTTGGGGTCATTTTTCAATACCTGGGCCTCTACTGAAACAGCACCGTGACTTGAGATAGAGAGAAATCACAAATGTCTTCTGTGCAGTATGACAAAATTTTAATGCCATGCATCATTAAAAAATTTGAAAGTTGATTTTCTGGGCACCCCTATAGCTCATCTGGTTGAGCGGGCGACCCATGAACACGGGCTGTAGTTCCCTGACGCAGCGGTCGTGAGTTCAACTCCCGCTCACAACAGTTTGCTGCAGGTCCTCCCCCCCTTTCCTGTCTCACTCTCTCACTGTCCTAACTAATAAAGGCAAAAAGGCCTGAAAAGATAATAACAAAAAAAAAGAAAGTTGTTTTTCTGTGATAAATTAATTTACAAAAATGTAAAAAAATAAAATAAAATGGTATCTGCCATATACAGCATTTTTTTTCAAGTGCCCATAGATGTTCCTCATCATAGAAAGAAATGGTAGCCCCACGTGCTGTACATATTTTACTATTTGGATTTATATTTGTTTCCATACTTGCTTCCTATCTGCTTTGCGTGAACACTACCTGCAGTTCAGCACAGTTCTGCCATGTCCCTGAATTTTTGTCACTAATAGGAATTATTATTATTATTTTTTTTTTTTTACTGAATCTGGTTAGAGAAAATGGTTTGTCTTTCTATTTTTACAAGTTCTGACTCCGATAAATGTTGCGAGTTTGGTGATGATTTTCTTTTAAAAGACATCATGCCTTTCAAACCTGCCAGCATGTTTTAGGGTTTAATTGTCAACACTTACAACACACACTTTAATGTATAACTGTGTGCAGTAGCTCTGTTGGAAGAATTTTGCTTGGCCACAGGAATTGCACTGATATTTATTCATTAATTTTCTTTTCCTTAATATTTACTCATCCATTCTTTCACACCATGTTTCACATTCACACAATATGTTTACACACTTTGCGACAATTTAACTGCGGTCCTCTGCTACAGTACTATGGGGGTTTATTGTTAGTCTGCTGGATTAAAATGCTCTGCGCCGTCAGTGTTGATGCTGGAGAGTTTGAAGGGTTTTGAGAAGCCTAATGAGAAAAATCCTCTGCACAGCAAGTGAGAGAGAGGAATTCCATTTCCTTTTTGTCAGTGATTATTTCCAGTCAGCTACATTTTGTCAGACTGAGAGATGGCGTCATCGTGAGACACACTTAAATCCATCCACTAAACAGGTACGCATTAGCTATCAGAAACACAGCAAACCGCCAGGCCATTCCACCATTTTACTGATCAATACATACTGCTTCTCTGTTTGCCTTCCCTTTTAAGTAAGCCCTTAGGCAGAAAGCACAGAAAACCACATGAGTGAAGACAGCAGAATCTGAGAAAACAAGTACCTGGGAATTTTATTTGATTCAAAATGGTAGTTATAAAGTACTTTAGAGGAAAAGATGAAAAGCACACAATACAGAATAGACACACATCTTTATATTCCACTTGTGTTTGAGTATTTAGTTGATGTATCCTGTGTTTGACCTGCAACATCCAGATGTCAGTATCTCCTCTTGAATCCATTGAAAACACAGATGCAGAGTACGGATCCAGCGTAGACCCAGCACATGTGAATGAGCATGTGTTTACATCAAAGGCAATATCCCATGTTGGCGAGCCCCGACACTCTTAATTGGAAGCTGTGTTACTTGTGTAGGTGAATGAGGAAGTGCAGGGGGAGAGAATGAAAGAGACTGGTTGATGAAAACCCACCTGTGGGGGGAGATTTCCCCAGCATGCCGTGTACCAGGTCTCCCTCTACTTTGAGATGCATAAATTAGGCCGGTGCAGCGCTTCCCTCATCACACACAACAGTTTGACTGCTACATTTGCTTCATTAGAATGAAAAGACAGACAATCTAATTATGGAGCTGCTTTCCCAAACTCTGTTCGTTGGCCCGCCAGCAGGAAACCTCATACTGTGAGAAGATGAGACACCATCAGTGGTTTAATTTATTTAACACATCTGATGTGAAATCAGTTACAAGTGCTTTATTTTCACTTCATTCCTGCCAAAAGAATCTTCCAAATGAAAAACTGAATGAAATTAGAAAAAGACCTTCAGTCTCAGCTTGGTAACAAGTCCTTTTTTCTCTGCTTTGGATTCTTTTAAGCTAATAAATCTTTAGAGAATATTTTAAGGTTGCCTTTTAGCCTTCAGTGGAAATTCCTGTGTGATTCGAGCTTTTGCTCATTTGTTCCAGTTTTCCTCCCGTTTAGTTTAGCTGCTTTATTTACTCGTGCTCACCATGCCTCAGGATATTCTACGTGTGTTTGTTTTGCCACACTCTGCTGTTCCGAGGGATATAGACTTTAGAGCATCACTGATATCTGACTTGGGCTGAACAATTTGGAGAAACTGAAAATGGGATTATTCTGACAGATTTGTGATTTGATTTGTGGTATAATTTTATATAATCAAGCTTCAGTTCTGTACTGAATGTGTAATAGATGTAAAACATGCGATGGAGGACTACCATGACATACAAACATGTGACTGGCACACAGGAAGAACAGCGTGAATTTATGCATATCTGAAATTATAGCTTTTACAGTTTGCTAATTGCACTGTTTTGAATTACGATTTTAATTAGAAATCCTTGAGTTGTTCAACACTACTACAAACTTGTATATTTTAAAAGAAGGGTCAGGAAAAAAACACAATATTTGTGGTACCTTTGACAAGACTTCTCTCTGTCTATGTCAGGAGCTGCCAACTTCCCAAACTTCTTCTGGCTTCTGTTTGCTGTAGATCAAACTCATTTTTAAGATTTAATATTTTCTTCTTGAGTAAATAAACATTCCATAACCTTATTTTTGTCAAAAATCTCAATTTTCAAATGATCTTTAACTAAAGCTTGCAAAAGCATCTGTTGTATTTTAATTAGAAAAAATCTAATTTGCGGGAAACATAATTTAGAAAATGATGCTGATTTCAAAATAGGAAGTTTGTTTTAGTTTTTAGTGAGCAAACACTAATTTGCTAAAACTGTTTTAAATCAGGGTAAAAATACTCCATTGGGTTGGAATTTAGCTTAAAGTCAAATACCAGCATTTATAATAAGTTCCTTTTAATATACGGTTTCATGCAGCTTATGACAAATTTTTATGTGAATATTTGGCCGTCTTCAAAATGCCACCCAGTCCAATGACTTTAATGACTGGCCACTTGAAGCCAGTCGCGAGCACAACATGCTGTCTGTATGATGTCAGGATTCCCCAAAGAGAGAGTCATCTCTTTTCCACAAACGCCCACAGACTTTTCCACTTAATTCAAGGACCAAACAATCACCCTTTTGTACGGTGAACGCAAGAGTTAGCTCACCATGTGCTGAACGAAGGCCGGAATTCGCGAGCAGCGTTTGAAGAAAGTTGATTGTTCGTCGATGTTGGAATGGAAATCTGATGTAGCTACAGCAGTAGATTCAGACTAGTAACTTTGGGGAAATTGTAACTTGGAGCGAGACCTTTGAAGCAGAGCATTATCAAAGCCTCACACTTGCTACCAGAGCCATGGAGAGGACGCCTTAGTGAGGAGGAACAAGGGCGGAAAACAGTGGAAAAAACAGAGAAGATAAAGGCAGGGAGGAGGCGCATGTTCCACATTAAAGCTCTCTCCGTTATCTCGGCTGTAAAGAACACAGAAGAAGAAGACTTCAGACGTTTCTCAGCGGATGCTGGGGCATGCGTGGAATGGCGAGGACGGCCCAATTTTTCCCGCCTAGTTGCCATGGTGTCTCCTGAGGCGATGAGGAGGAATGGGGGCTTGTTTTGTGCCCACCCCTGCCAGCATTTGATGGGAGGCATGGGACCAGTGGCCCACCATCCCCAGTGCGACCTCTTCAGAGCCCCAACGTGGCACCATGCTCAGCAGAAAGGCTTCACACAGCCTCTAATGGAGTGGGTCAAATCAGCACTCCCATACTTTTTTGTT